GTTATTTTACAATAATTTTTTGAAAGGCTCATATGTCTTATCCTTTCCAAGAAATGTAAAAATTCTTTAAGAAAATAGAAGCTCTCACTTTGCTTTATAACATATTTCTTGAATCCCAAAATTTTGTAAATCAGTAATTTGATTGGTCGATCAATCATGTTATTGCTATTTTGATTGGCCCAAATAGCCTGAAAATCATTTCCATATTCGGATGGTCTCTGCTGTATTTTTTACTTGGTTGCACGATTCCGATAAATTATGTCCCTAATATTTGAGTGTCGCTAAAAGAAAACTCGAAAATTTAAATATGACTTATATTTAAATTTTCGGGTTTTCTTTTAGCAACACTCATTTCTGTATGAGTTAACAAACTACTGTAACTTAAAAAGCGGGAAAAAGTCTAAGCCTAATTCCAGCACTTTCACAGCCAATGTATCAATAATTTATAAACTTATTACATTTTTAAATAAAAATAAATATCAATCTACCTCGGTGTTGGTTTTAAAAGGCGCACTTAAAGGATCAATTACAACACCCATTTTTGTGATAACTCTAGGTGTAATCATTTTTTGGAATACTTCATGCGTATTCCATTCTTTACCTATCGGAGTACGTAAACTACGCTCGTATTGTTCTCTAGTCTCGAATGGGTATGGAATATCCGTAGAAAGATATTTCTTTGCCTAAATTTAATCGGAATATTTAAAAAATAATAAACATTCCGAAATTCAGTAATATCAATTTTTTTTTATAGATATAAATACCTTTTTAATCCTTTTTTCATTAATAATTACATGCTTTAATTTTGCATCTTGACGTTTTTTAGTATCAATACCTTCACCTGGTAACGGTTTGACTATTATCGGTTTCTTGTTTTTTTGTGGTTTAACTCCCTTACCACCCCATGTTCCCTAAAAATAATTTTTTATTTTTATTGAAAGCGATGAATTAAAAAATAAAATCAGAATATAAATCCAGGCTAAAATTTACCCAACCAGGTAATGTTATGTCTTGCTCTTTAGGCTTATCTTCTTCGATAATAGCTAGTTTTTCCGATTCAAATTCCTATTCAGAATAATGATAGAGTGTATATATAAGTATATATACTTTTTATAAAAAAAATTATATATAAAGATGTATTAACTTACTTCGATTACGTTGTCATTAGCAAAAGCACGAGCAACTAATTCTCTTTGCGTAAACGCATTGGGATTCTTCACGTTTACAAAATTTTCTACCGTTTTAGCGTTAACACCATCGTCGTTATCAGATTCAATATTAACGTTCTCGGTAGATGAATTATCAAATGTTGATGTCTTTTCCTTTTCTTTTTTCGTATTATCATCTTAACATACAAAAAATATAGTTAATTATTGTTGTGGCTGAACTTGAAGTCGGAATTGGTCTCGTTTTAATATGAATTTTTTTTTGAAATCTCCTACTTCGGCCGCGACGATTATTCATGCAAAAATAATAATAAACTCGATAAATTGGCATCAAAACTCAAGAAACAAAA